TGAAATCAAATTAACATTAGAACTAAAGTCAGTCAAAATTGGACTTTGCACGGATCAGAATCTAAGCAATACACCATTTCCCCAGCTCTGTAATGAAAAGGATAAGAAGATTAGGTACATTACAGGAGTGTTCCACACCCAAACATGCACACTTATCTTATTCTAGTAGAGATTAGAGGACAAGGTCTAATGTCGTGAACAAAATGATCAAATCAAAGTTATTTTGTTTATTGTTATGTACCTAATTTTATTTAATAATTAATCTTGAATTACTAATAACTTTAAAGAAGGCAACAATTTACAATTTGGATGAAGTGATTACTCATCCAAAGTGTGTGTGTGCTTGTCTGCCCAAGGTTTCAAACATTTGGGACAGCACAGCAGTGAGAATGTTATGAGAACCAATCTGTTGTTTACACTAAACTCGAAGGAAGCTAGACTGGAACATTTTAAATAAATCAAAACACTTGCACATTAATTAAATACATTTGACATTTAGCTCGAGCTGGGTTCAATACTTTTCTTTATGGTATTTAAAATTGGGCTCGAGTAGAACCCCTGGATTTGGCTTGCAACACAAAGTGATACTGATCTCTGTAGGACTTGGAAGTGTTATGATTCAAAGTGCCTGTGAAAGAGAGGCCCTTGGAAAACAACACCTATTTTGTAACTGTAATTACTTATTTTAAAGAAATTGCAACATTATACTTTTAAAGAATTGCTCAATTAATTTAACACATTTATTATGCACACAATAAAAACTTCAACAAATATATTGATCCTGGCTTAACCAGCAACCTTTACTCTGTTGTTCATAAGCTCGGTTTCAGAAAACTTGTCAGTAGTTTAACAACTATTTTAATTTTAGTATTGTCTATAGAGACCAATTGGTTGATACTAGAAATAATTTGAAGCAGTTTAATAAAGAATGTTAAACTATTTTTAAAACTGTAATTGAACTTCAACTTATATTAATTACCTGATTCCAGTGGCCAGTTGGAACAGAATAATTAACACAGTTTCCATTTTGCTGCAACAGCGCAAAAGGTTTCAACAACAATTAGTATTATGTCTGAGTCTAGTTCTGTCTTATCTGCTTTGTTTCGGAATGTGTTCAATACATTACGTTTTTATTCATTATTACTATACAATACATAGATTAAGAATAAATGAAACAAATAATACAACATTGACCTAAAACCAGATTTTGCAACTTTGATCTCCTCAGGCAGGTCTCTGAGGGTCTCGGGGCGCAGGACGGGCATAGGGTTTATACAAGGTCACAAAGATATCTTAACATACCAGCAATACCATCTAAGAATGGATTCTTAAAGCAATATAATCTTATTTTCTTCTTACACCTAGCGCTCACCCTGAACAGTGGGCTTCTTGTTTACATTTTCCCCTGCACTCAGAGGCAGGACATAAAAACACTTTTTATTTTTCTCAGGTCATTTACTTTTGGTGAGATAATTAAAGTTTAGTTCATTTTACCCTGTCTATGGACTGATTAATTATTGTTACAAAACATACACAAGACGGCGGGACAAACCAATATAGACCCCCATACAAACAATCAGACAAACAAAACATGAACTCTTAATAAACACCAGCGCGACAGCAAAGCTCATCCAGCTCAATTTAGTCCGGATTTTAGAGATCTTAGAGGGGGGGGGAATTATCTCCAGTGCGGCGTCTTCTCACGCCTCACCCTTGCATACAAGTGATTTATCGGTGCCTGAAAGCCGTCCAAGAACGATAACTAGCTTATCCTCTTGCGACAACCACTAGGCTATTTGTTTCTAGTGGCGCTGTGCCCCCCCGATCGGAGCCCACAGACTTTTTCCCTGCCCTTTCTCTCCAAACAACAGCTCAGTTGACTGTAGTCCGTACGACCAGCCTATATACACTTGCTATCGAGTTCACCTCAAGGTGAAACACAGTTTGCCTATGCTTGCTTGCCACTACACACCTCTGATCAATTAGCCTATAATTTTATGTATGCACTCCTGACCGCCACCTGCTCCAGAGAGCCGTAGCACATCGGGTGATGCACGCACTTCGCGCTGGCCCGTCTAACCATGAGAAAAGCGGTCCTAAACAACGAGTGCTTTTAGACCGTCCCGTTTGAAGGACGGCGGTGCCGTGAGTTAAAACCTATAGGCAATAAGCTGTGACTTTCTCCCTCTCAGCCTGCACTGCTCCAGCCCCACACACACATGGTGAGGTTTTACACACACACACGCAAGGCTGCAGCTGGAGCCGTGTTTTTACAGAGAGGTGATAGCAGCAAATATCTTTGGCTGCTTATTTTCAACTGCTGTGCTTAGCCACTAAGACCCCCAAAATCCGGCGATTTGTCCAATACAAATCTTTTACATTGCTTTCAATTCACACAGAAGCTCCACTTCACTGATGCCCTTTCCTTAAGGTATCTCTAAACATGAGCTGTGTATGCCTGTATGGCACTTCCGTCCCGAGCAGCACACACAGAGGAAATAAGCCAGGACTGAGTCCCCAGACACTGATTCCCTGGGTTTAACATCCCCAAATGTTCATTAACCAAAAGGAAACGCAGCCGATCAGTTTCACAGGTAATTTTAGGATACCGTCAATCACAGATTCTGATAAGGCAATGTCCAAAGTAGATTTGAAAATCACACTTACCACAATCTGAAGATCTGTTATATCCTGCCGACAACGCCAATTTGTAGAGGAAACTTCTGTGTAGCTATGCAGTGGGAGTCACCGACTCCCGACATTTTTATTATATTCCTTATATGTTCAAAGTGACCAAATGCTTCTCATTTAGTTAGATGTGCTGTTTGCCTCTATCTACTCTACTTCAAGGCCACAGCTGCTATTATGAATGGACTCACACATAGTCACACGAGAACTTGCCTTTCCTGAGATCTACAGCTCAAGGACATGTGTCTAATAACAATGTGACCGTGTGAAGACAGATTTCTTACCTTCTCACCATTTCTGCTATATAAGCCTTGCTACCATATTGAACTGCGCACACTCACGCAGACTATTTATACTCTGTGAGACCTGTGTCTATATTTTATTGTATCTAATGTTTGTTTGAGGCTTCAAATAAACATCACCAGAAAGACAACTCTGTCTGATTCACCATTTATTTGTTTTGATCACTCTGACTTGTACTCTACAGTATTGGGGTTTTTGGATTTCCATAACAGTGTCCATATTAACACTTAATTTTGTTGCTACTGTAATCATTCCTTTTGTTGATACTGGCCATTAAAAGATCACTTACTAATGCACTACCAATGGTCTGAATCAACAGTAGGTCTGATAAATGTGTGAGTTTGGAAGTAAATTAGGCTGGAGCCACACAAGGACGATAACGCAAACGGACCGCAATCGTTATCAAAAAAGTCTTCCGTCCACACGCAACAGGCACCAGAAACGTGTCCGTTCCATAGGGTCCGTTCACACGAGACCGCTCGAAAGCGCTGGAGACGCTGTAGTACATATGCCAGGCCTGTAAGTGGCGCTGTAGTCCTGCCACAAAAGCAGCGAAGAAGACTTCACGCGCATGGTTGCCATAGTTGCCCTTCTGTTTATTCTCCGCTGTGGCTCTTTTTCTCCCTACCCGAGGCAAGCGTTTGCTCCTGCTGCTGTAATTCTCTCGGGTTAGTCCTCCAGCAGATGAAAAACACCCACATCTCCGCCTCTTCCAAGGGACGAGGGGACCGTGCGGCAGAGTTTCAGTTCATTTTACTGAGTAGTGCCAGGTTCCTTAGGTTGTTGCTATTGTTTCCTATTAACGGAGTCTGCATATGAAAGAAAAATCTGTGGGTAACAGGACAATATTTTTCCCAATATTTGTATAGGAATCGTTCTGGTTTCCGTTTGTAGTCTGAGTAGGACTGACCTCTAATCGTTAAGTTCCAGGACTTTGGCTAAACATTCTGTGTCAAGAGCAAAAACAAATCTGTGTCCGATGGAATGAACCCATCAGCTATCGTCTGACGCATATGAAGGCACATACAATCCAATCGTAGACGTCATCCCTAAGCCCCAAATCTATTCTTGCATCTGACTGTAAACCCAGATATCAGTTTATGGGTTCCAAAATGGTGGCAACATTGACCATTATTGCCATTGCTACAGAAAGGCAGCATCTCTTAAATATCCCAAAGGCATTATAACCAATTTTAATGTAGCTGAAGCCAATGTTTTTTTGTTTACCTTCGCATAGAAAAGAAAAAATGTAATCAAATTCAAGTAAATTCAAAGTGAATGTATGGTGCTATCCAAGCCTGAACCACTGGGCAAAATGACCTACAGTATCATCACTCTCCCCTCTTTGTCTTTCTTTCAACTCCATGTACATCCCATGCCTTTTTTATGCTCCTCTCTTTTTTACATTCAACACATAACAAACTTCTATTTGTATCCAGCCTCTATTTATTCAAGTTGTTCAACCAGACAGAAAATGCGTGTTGTCATCTGTCACTTCCCCCCCGAGCAGGAACTCTCGGCATCTCGGTGTTGTTAGTGACACAAAAAAAAACAGTGCCTGGAAACAGACAAAAAAACACACTGTCCCTAAAGATGTAAAAATATTTGCAGTCAGACAAGTAGTGTGGTGAAGCAAAAGCATTTGGTAAGGTCGAGAAGTTTACAAGATGTTTGGTACTCTCCCACACTTTCTGCTTTCTTTTGGACATTTGACATCCCTTCTTCCCCCGCCATCTGTTCCGCCTTTTTTATTCAGCTTGTTTTTGACATGTGGGCAGCTCCTTTGACCACAGCTCCACCAGCCAGACTGCATCCTGTCAGTCTGACACATGGCTGTTACCTAAACACACACACACATACACACTTTGCTAATGAATGCTGGCGAGTGCATGCACACACACGTACAAGGGAATAGGGAAAGTATCTAAATGTAAAGTCTGTTGTCACATCCAATTTGTGCAGAGGAGAAACTACATATCCTCAACATATTTGTTTCTCTTTCTCTCTAGATGCTACAGCCCCAGTTTAAACCCCACAGCATCCAGCAGGTGTTGCTGAGGCTGTTCCAGGTATTTTATATTATTAATTAATCTTTCCACTTTCAAATCAGCCAAGTCATCTCTCTTGGGCCAAGGCTGAGGGCTAAGCCGCTAAGGTTTATCAGCATTCCTTGTTAATTCATCTAGATTATTCTTTTCTTTTTTATTCTGACTGTCAATGCAGCACATACAGTTGTATGTTTTAAAGGTCACCTATTATGCAAAATCCACTTTTTCATGTCTTTTATACCTAAACATGTGTCCCCTCTGTGGAAAGAGATTCTGAAAGTTTCAGCTCAAAGATTCTCTCACTTTTTGTCCTGATCTATTTATATAAAAACCTGTCTGAAAATGAGCTGATCAGATTTTGGCCACTTTATGATGTCATAACGATTTTTTGGCTTGTGTAACGATAAGCCAATTACCACCTTAATCTCCTCCTAGAGCACCATCGTGTTTTTTTAACCACATATTTCTCGGAGGGGCGTGGAGAGTGACTCCTTATTTTCACCTAAAGTAAAAGACAGAGAATCAGCACTTTTGAAACAGGGCTGAAACAGAGGGGTTTGTGGGATGCTACAATGATCTGTTTGGTATTTCGAGCCAAACACTTCAGAGACATGTTTTGTATATATCTGAGACCTATAATATCCATCCATCTTCTCCCGCTTATCCGTGGTCGGGTCGCGGGGTAGCAGTTCCAGCAGAGAGCCCCAAACTTTCCTTTCCCTGGCGACATCAACCAGCTCTGACTGGGGGATCCCAAGGTGCTCCCAGGCCAGCGAAGAGATATAATCCCTCCACCTGGTCCTAGGTCTACCCCTTGGTCTCTTCCCAGCTGGACGTGCCTGGAACACCTCCCTAGGGAGGCGCCCAGGTGGCATCCTAACTAGGTGCCCGATCCACCTCAACTGGCTCCTTTCAACGTGAAGGAGGAGCGGCTCAACTCCGAGTCCCTCCCTGATGACCGAACTTCAAACCTTATCCCTAAGGGAGACACCAGCCACCCTGCGGAGAAAACCCATCTCGGCCGCTTATATCCGCAATCTCGTTCTTTTGGTCATGACCTAAATAAAGGTTGACCTATAATATATTGATGAAAAATTGTATAATAGGGGACCTTTAATATATCAGTATGGCTCCTTGAGGGCAGACTCATGTATTGTCATGGAGACTATTATGCAGAGTTCACCCCAGTATTAAGAGCAGGATGTCCTTTAACAATCTGGTCTGAGCTGCTGGTTAGATTTTCAAATGTATCTTGCGGTTCCAGTGCTGTTTCATTTCCTGTGCAGCTTCATTCCAGTCAGTTTGATTGAATCGTGGCTGTGTGTCGCAGGTGATTCCTGGAAGGTCGCCGTACGGCTCGTGGGATCCGGGACGCTGCCTGCGCTGCGCCGTGGTGGGCAACTCCGGAAACCTCAGAGGGGCCGGATATGGGCCGACCATTGACGGGCACAACCACGTCATGAGGTGAGAGGCATGGATGTGATAGATAGAAGGGCAATGAGATAAAGAGGAGAGCAGATGCACAGCTGCATTACATGGAGCAAGACTGAAAGAAAGATATGGAGAGAGGAAAAGATGAAGGTGGATGAGGAAGATAGCTGGAGGGTAGAAGGGAAGAGAGATTTCATGAAAGGAAAGCACTATAGCCTTAAAGTTATATAATTATAAAAATAAAGTTTAATTTTATAGCACTTTTCATACACCAGGTGCAGCTCAAATTGCTTTCACAACATGGCACACATCACAAATTAGTACAAATCATAAGAAATGCACTTCAATTCACAAAACCCTAAAACCTTATTGCACACATGCAGCGTACATACATAATATAACAGTTCAAAGGACACGAGGAGGTAAAAGGTGTAATACAAAGAAAGTACAAGTAAATAAATAATTAACCCTCTCGGGGGAAAAAGAGGAAGGCATAAGATAAGACAAAATGAATAAATACAATACAAATATTAAAACCTATAAAATAAATAAAGCTACAGTAATATACAACTAAAATAAACACATACTGTATCATCAGCAGATGGGTTCTTCTGATCAGCTTCTGATACTATATTTAATCTTTTTAATTCTGTCCTATATTCAAGTCTGAGTGGTTGACGGAGACGTCACCTGACTAGTGTGAGGTCACCACACAGAGGGTTTATGTCTTAAGAAGCTGAAACGTATAGATCGTGCCTCTCTCACGCACGCACCCAGGCAGAGAGGGACATAAATCTGTTTGTCTGAATCAATCCCCCCCACGCTTTCTGGCGCAGCAGTGATGGATCACAGGGCCTGATTGTCGTCAGTTGGCATGGCACACACAGCTATGTTGTTGCCCGCGGCTATAGTGCTTGTCGTGGCCACGTGCTTTTGGCATAAAAACCTCCACAGGAATGACAAGTCTTTTTTTGTTTAACGCATTAGCATCCATTAGCGTTGTATTCTCAGTGGACTTGTGTGTGGGCTGCTTCCAGGTCCATCTCACTGTGGTTTGATTTTCATTCTGTGTTTTATAATCAGCTTGGTCCACAACACCACCACCCACCTGCTGTCTGTGTGTCTTCTCACTCCCGCTATGCGAACAAACATCTATTTTGTTCACTGACATATGTGTAGGCGCACTTAGCCGCCTTTTCTTTTTAAGGTGCCCCTTCCTGTTTGTATGAACAGCTCGGTTCTCCAGACAGTAGTGAGTCACATAGACTGTAAATACAGCAAAAGACAGAGTTACTGTCTGACGGGGAAACATATGTTTATTATATTCAAGGGCATGAAAAATGGTGGGAACACAAGGACTCAGATGAAATATTGAAGGAATGCAATTGAAGGAAATGCAATGGGGGATGGATAGGAGGTTATATACAATAATTATGACGAGATTGTGAAACATTTGCATAGCACCACATCCACTAAAGGACATACACTTCGCTATTGGAGGGACAACAAACCTAAAAGATTGTCTTCTTTATGCATCATTTTCAGAGGTAGAAAAGGAGACAAATTAAAGAATAAAGTAAATGTTCTAAGTTACTTAGGTTATTTTTTCTTGGCTATGCACATGTGTCTTTTTTTTTACCAATTCTTCAGAAAACGTTTTACAAGTTATGCCTTTTTAAAAAGTGGTGCTTAAATCATGACTTAAATCATGAGTTGAACCACTTTCATAGTAATGATGACTAAAACCACTACTTTTACCTGGTTTCCTGGTAATGACAAACCAAAAGTGAATCAACACCCTTCCCACCTTTGCGGTTTTGGTTCAGTCCGACTGCTCTCGTGAGCAGCTTTTCTGTGCTCCAAAAACCCGCTGTACACCACCTGCTCAGCACCAGACAGGAAACAAATAAAGGTTAGCAACCAGTTAGTGAACACTGTGGAGCATTTGGCAGCTAAAGAGACAGATATTTCCCTAAGGAGGAGACCAAAAAGGAGCCGTAAGGAGGGTTAATATTGAGCAGACAACCATATGGCCCCCCCATGTGGATTCATTCTGGTTTAAAACGGCTTTGCTGACTACGGCTGAAGCTCAGACTTTACTTGCTAGAATAGTGTTACCTGAAGACGTGCAATTCTCATAATCTACCTCCCTTTTTTCCCAGAATAAACCTGGCCCCCACAGTAGGGTACGAGGAAGACGCCGGCAGCCACACCACACACCACTTCATGTACCCGGAGAGCGCCAAGAACCTGGCAGCCAATGTCAGCTTCGTCCTGGTTCCCTTCAAAACGCTGGATCTCGTCTGGATCACCAGCGCTCTGTCTACCGGCCAGATCCGATTGTAAGAAGAGAGACACACACACACACACACACACACACACACACACACACACACACACACACACACACACACACACACACATATGCATAAACATAGATTAGCACACATGTGATTGCACACAAAGATCAAATGTATTCGGGACACATAGACACACACAGGGACACTAACACACATAAGTAAAGTTTGGGGTCTTAAATACACTTCATTTTTTGCACACACATACACACACAGAGTCGCTAGGCTGGAACAATCGGTCAGCCGTCAATCATCCAGGATTCATTGCGGCAGCCATCACATAAAGTGCTGATTGAATGTGTGTAATCAATTTCTCTCTCTTTATCCCCTTCCCTCTTTCCTTCTCTTTCTCAGTACTTACGCTCCTGTGAAGCAGTTCCTGCGCGTAGATAAAGACAAGGTCTGTATTTTCATTATTTTTGGCTCTTCTCAGAGTAATACGGCATACACGTATGCAGCCGCACACAAACACACACGGTGACCCCTCTTTGCTGCTGCAATTAGATAATCCCCTCCCCATTGTTGATGAGGGATTACAGTTAGATTATAAACCTTCCTTTGTTTTTTTAATATTCTTCTGCTTTCGCTCTTTAATCCATGAAAATAAATAAAGTCAAACTAATCCCCGCCATGCGAGGACTTTTTGTGAATGTCTTCTGGTCAGAGCATGGATTTATAATAAGAACTGGATACAGCGTGGGAGGCGGTCTTTTGAGAGAGCGAAATTTCACAGATTACCCGTCATGGCTGGCTGTCAGAGCAGAAGAACCCGTATGTGCGCTCACAGAGCATGCGCCCCTCAAGCCCCGCCCCCGAGCACCCACTCTCGGCTCAGTAGAATGAATGGAGGGAGAAAATAAATCTAGGTTCGGCTTTTAGTGCATTTTACAACTTTAAGGACCTAATGTTTCTAATAAGGGCTATAAAATAGTTCATACTGGGTAGTTTATTTAGTTTCAAAAAAATTATCCGCTGATTTACAGACGTCTCTTTCCCCATGTTAGTCAATGGGAAAAAGTCTTTTTGGGCCCAGTGACGTCACTGACCGATACGGAAGTTGCAGTACCGCCGTTTGGACACAACTAATTTTGGGCACAGAGTCCGGCGCACTTCATGGGGGCTTGGGTCAGAGACACGGTGTGTTTTTCTAGCCGGCCGCAAAAACATAGATTTAAATGAATAAGAGCTGCTTCTTTGGCACTTCACCTGGAAGCAGATGATAAATGTCATATGACTTTTAATTTGGTGAAAAGTGCTTCAAATCTTTCACAGCGGGAGTATTACAATTTCACTGGGGAATTGTTTTTCTTTTGAATATGCAGCAGCTTTGATTTGCATGTGCGTGTCCATCTTTCCTGAATTTCTGTTTAAAAGTTAAGCTATGAATCTGAAAACGGAGGAACTTGGATTAAATGTAACATAAACTATAAAAAACTAATTGTAGATGTTTCTGAATATGGGACTTTGGTCAATGCTGTGTAGATACACTACTTCTTTCCATGCAGGATGGTTTGAATTTTCGTTTTCCAGCAACTCTGCTTCTCTTGCACCAGGTCCAGGTCTTTAACCCAGCTTTCTTTAAATACATCCACGACCGCTGGACCACACACAATGGGCGCTACCCCTCCACTGGCATGCTAGTGCTGTTCTTTGCCCTGCATGTCTGTGACGAGGTCAGTTTATTTATCTTCTCTACTTCCAATCTGTAAATCCTTGCACCATGCTGGAACTACATTTTATAGGTTAATATTTGTAATCACACACTTCTTTTCCATCACTCCTCTAGGTTAATGTGTTTGGCTTCGGGGCAGACAGCAGGGGAAACTGGCACCACTACTGGGAGCAGAACCGCTACTCCGGGGAGTTCAGGAAGACCGGTGTCCACGATGCGGACTACGAAGCCCAGATCATCGAGCGGCTGGCCAAGGCCGGCAAGATCACTTTATTCCCCGGGAAGTAACCAGCAAATCATCCTTTGTATCTTAGTCTTCCATCACTGGTACGGCGACAGACACTATAGAGTCTGCTTAGAACGAGTTAGATATTTTAACCAAAAGCTTACTGGTCGCTGGTTCCAAACAATGATATTCCGTTCACTTTCCCTTAGTTCTGAGAGCCAGTCGAGGCCCTGATGGAGAAGACTCCAAATAACCAACGGGGAACATATAGATCCAGATGTAGTTCTGCTTTTCACAACTGGCTTAAAGGTGGGAGTTAAGCCTTACATTCAACTCGGATTGAAGAACGAGTGAACACTGGACAGCAGGAAAACTCATTCAATCACAACAAAAAGCCACTCTGACTTAAGGACGCAGAGAGAGCGTACTGGAAAGGCCACAGTAATAGCACCGTCAGCATTATGGAGACTATTGTTCTATACTTGGAAGTGTGTAAAACGTACACCCTCTAAGTACGCGGCTCTGTACCGTAGACCTGCTGACAAAACTGGCAATCTGTTGACCAGTTGAGACTCGAAGACTCACATTTCCATCTCTTACAGAACCCTGGGCCATGACTTTATGTGAGTTCTGCCTCACCAGACAGCGTTACAAGGACCCGTTCTGACTGTGATGGGCTGTAAAACTCTGGGGTATAAGCCAATGTGTGATTGCTGTGGGTTATATCATGTGTCCTCGAAACCCACTCCCCTTGGGTCCTTTACAGGCTTAGCAAGGCCTTGACAACGTGTAGCAGACTAACAGAAACATAATCAGGCCTTTTGCCTTTTGACCGTTCTGACCCACACAGATCACTGCAGCACTAGCATGAGCCTGCTAACCCCACAGCTGAGCTTAAGACTTTATTCACACAGGCAGGGAGGGTTCTGGGAGGAGCGTTGATTTGACTGCTCTAATGAGGACAAGAGTTTGTCTCCTGGGATTTAATGTTTGGATGGAGTTTCATCCCCATGTGGTCTGTCAGGGTCTAATTTGGGAGACTGGTTCTTCATGCCCCAGCTCTCTGAGGCAGCATGAGGAGCACATCGTCTTTCTCCAGAGAAAAACTTGTTGGTTCACTGTTTCCGTGCAGCAGACTTCTACAAAAACTGCTTTGGGCTCGCCACTTTGGCTTTCTGACAGGACTGAGACATCAGGGGAACCTCGCTCTGTTTCTTTGCCCTTACACAGAACTGACTTATGTATCCCAGAGGAGTTAAGAGACTGTCAGGAGCATTTTGCTTCAGATTAAGGCCCATATCATGGGGTGAAAGAAAAACCCCACTGAGTCTCTCCATCGGCCACTAGCACTGGTTCCCGCTTAGCCAATTAAAACTTCAGCTATCTCTAGAGCGGGCGGAGCCACCAGACGCCTTAGACTTCATAGAGTGGTGCAGTGACGAGTCCTAAAACCCGGAAGTGAGTTAGCATTTTACCACTTCCGGTTCCCTCGTCTCAGAGCCAATGGGATTTCTCCATAGGATTTTTGGAAAATAGCTCGAAATAAGGTCTGTGGTTGACACAAATTTCAGAGACGGATAACGTTTTGTTCTACGACATTAAATAATAATCAGCAGTGGTGATTTTTGAAGAGTTTACGTGTCTGAAAAACGATGGTTGTTAACAAGTGGCTGAATAGGACTACAGAAGTTGTCGAGGACGTTGTACGTCATTACGCTGAACACGTAAACACTCCCGCTAAGTTTGTTTGCCCCAATTCTGCTTGAAAGCAAATACCTGCGCTCCTGCAAACTGTTAAAACAAACACTTCAACTTGTACCATTTAGAGTCTGTAGTTTTGAATATCGATCTTAAGTTGGCGTGACGTTGAAGTCGTGCGACCCTGCTGTACTCGGCTGTAGTTCGTTTATAGCATAACGTTAGCATTTTGCTTCTGGCGATTAGATTTATGATTAGAACATTTTAAAATGTCGGGTATACAAAACGTGCATTTATCAAACAGGTTTGTTTTCCACAGACCTTATTTTGAGCTATTTTCCCAAATCCTATGGAGAAATCCCATTGCTTTTTTGTCGAGGGAACCCATGCGCAGCTTACTTCCGGGTAAATACGTCATCCCTGCACCACTCTATTGCTGCATCGATTAAACTGCACTTCCTGTTTGATTTCTTGTTCATGGCACATCCCACTGTAGACTTAATTTCAGGTTTTGTACTGTTTGCTTTGACTTTACACTTTGTGATGTATACTGTTGGCTCAGATTTTCTTTTCTACCCAGTTGGCACAGGAATGGCTTCTTATCATCATTTGGTACTATCCTCAAATGATGACACATTTATAGCCTCATTTATAGCCTCCATTGATAGTTATTCACACATTCAGTGAGGAGGCACGAACAAATAGCAGACATGCGAGTGCTGCTCAACCTTTTCAAAAGCGTCACTGGAAAAAATCAAATGTGAGCCATGAAAAAGTAAAAAGTATTTGGTGTGATGTGACATATTTACGAAGTAGCTGGTGACTGATAAGGGAAAGTACTTGGGGTTCCTACACAGGTCTGGAAAATATGTAGAACTCTTTATTTGTAACATGCTATACGTTTGAAATCTTTTTGGGGAGTTTGCAAGCCGTTTAGCTAGATCATTACTTTTGCTTCGTGTTCTTAATGTTGTACCGATTGTAAACATGGAGGTCAACAAGCGCGGGTCAGTTCTCTGACTCAATTAAACTTTGGGTTTGGAGGGTGGACATAGTTTGTCGTCTTTTTGGATTCTAACTCTATTCAAACATTTGGAAAAAAGTTTTTTAAGACTTTTATTTTACAAAACAACAGGTATGTTGCTACTGATGGATTTGGTGTTGTGGCAAGCACCAGGGTATGTTTAAAACCGACTATAGGTTAGCTAGTCAAAGCACCTTATGTGACTCATGTGTGTTATGCAATGAGCAAAAAAAATAACTAATCTACGACCTCAACATTTTTCCGAATGAAAGCTAAATTTTTTCAGCTTCTAGAGGAAAATGTAGCTTTCATTCGGATGTGCTCATTTCTCATATACACAGTTGTTAATATGAAATAACAACTGTGTATATGAGAAATGAGCACATCCCTCTGAGTGGATTAAGAGTTAAGGGATTTAACCACATGGCACTAAAGCTCATTCTTATTGATTAAGTGTTTTTTACATGTAGTTAAACACACACACACACACACACACACATACATACACACATTGAGGAGGGTCGGGTGCTGCCCCCAGCAGGCGATGTGAAGAACTGTGCTTTCAATATTGGTTCTGTTTGGTGTAAAATTGTGTTATCTTTGGAGGATATTGTGTAACCTCATGTGACTCTTGTGTATTGTACCTTATTTGCGTTTGATGTTTTTATCCTACTTTGCACATAACATGTCTTTCGCATTGAGCTGTGCTCACTTAAAGAGTCTGTGGGGCAGAATCTGAACATTTTATTTGTATTTTCTATATCTGTGTCATACACACCGATACATACACACGGACATTTATGCTTTTGTGCCTTGTCCTGCCGCTAGACATATCTCGCCTATAGCTGCTCCATCTTTGCATTTTTTTAGTCACACACACTCCCATGTCTTTTGGCTGAGAGCTTTGCCTTGTGAGCTGAATACACACACACACACACACACACACACACACACACACACACACACACACACACACACACACACACACACACACACACACACACACACACACACACACACACACACACACACACACCTACATGAAGACACACATCGCCTTTTTCTCGGGGTACTGGCGCCTACCACTCTTCACTTCCCATTCTGCTTTGTGCACTGACATTGTAGGCCTGCTTTAAGATGGCTGCAGACCATGTAAACTGGTGTCGCAGCGTGAGGTGTGTACACTTTTGAGGCATATCCAGATAAGAAGTAGTGAAGAATTACAGGGAAGATGCCAGACATAAAGTGTGTCAACATTTGCAGTAACCTGTCTTATCTCTGTCTGTTTGGAACTACTGAACATGATTAAAAGTTTGGACGTATCAGTGTACCGTTGCCTTCGTGGTTCAGTGTTTTTTTGCCGTGGTCAGCGACTGTGTTCCTGTGTTGATTTTTGCTTCCCTAGATGCTCCTTCCAACCTTTAAAATGAATGTGTAAAGTGTTTTTTGAGATAACGTGGCTCTCTGTCGGCGGCCTAACACCTTCCCCTGCAGTGGGTGGGAAGGTCCTAATAGCCCCAAACAAGGCCATGACCACGAAAACCGCTATCGGCATCCTCAATTTCTCACAGATACAGACCAGAACATTGTGATCAGATAAAGTGGTAGCAGGGTGATCCCTCCCTGCTGGGTGAGCCGACACTGGAGTTGAGTTTACACAGAAAATGACACAGCTTTGAGAGTGTTCCCTGTAGCATTTATAACCTAAAGTAGTTATTTCCTCCTGTCGCTGACCCAACAATACACAGTTCTCTTTTGGTCCTCGAGTGGATTTAAAAACAGTTTTAAGAAATATAGTTTCCAGTTCAATTCATATGGCAGGGCTTTGTCAGGGTAATCAGTCAGGAAATAAAACGGTGTGTGAATGTGATGTTCAACCATCTGACAGAAGTAATCCAACTACATGGGCAATTCTGATCTCCTCAAAAATGTAATTATTTATTTTCTTGGCCCATGCTACAACCTTCCAACCGTATCATGAAAATTGGGCCAGTCGTTTTCTCGCTTTTCTTGTCATAATTTATCATCGAGGTCTTTTTTTTATTCCAGGCCAGATTTATGCTAAACATCACTGCACTAAAATCATTCCTCATTGCTGTCAGCGAATCCAGGTTCTTTTCACATCCAGGACTATTTTTACACCGCTTATGTGCTGAGGCAAATGTTAGTAAAGCCTGATTGCCTGGAAATGTGTCATTGAGCCTTGTACGACTGCACAAAGCAGCCGCAGCAGCACTGTAGTTAACCACATTCTATATGTTCCTGTGGGGGAAAGGGAGGCACATAAAGCTAATTGAATTATTATGAAGGGCTATGGGTTAATTCAACAGAAGGACTGTAAATATGAACATCTAAAATATGGACACTATTTTTTGAAAGGGGTATATCTGTATCTCAACCTTTTTTTACATACATATACATTATCAGGAATATGTGACATTTTGGGAGATACATTTTGTAATGTAAGATGATTGATACCACTGTGTTAAACATCCATCCATCCATCTTCTCCCGCTTATCCGTGGTCGGGTCGCGGGGGTAGCAGTTCCAGCAGAGAGCCCCATACTTTCTTTTCCCTGGCGACATCAACCAGCTCTGACTGGGGGATCCCAAGGCGCTCCCAGGCCAGCGAAGAGATATAATCCCTCCACCTGGTCCTAGGTCTACCCCTTGGTCTCTTCCCAACTGGACGTGCCTGGAACACCTCCCTAGGCAGGCGCCCAGGTGGCATCCTAACTAGGTGCCCGAACCACCTCAACTGGCTCCTTTCGACGCGAAGGAGGAGCGGCTCAACTCCGAGTCCCTCCCTGATGACCGAACTTCTCACCTTATCCCTAAGGGAGACACCAGCCACCCTGCGGAGAAAACCCATCTCGGCCGCTTGTATCCGCGATCTCGTTCTTTCGGTCATGACCCATCCTTCATGACCATAGGTGAGGGTAGGAACGAAAATGGCCCGGTAGACGGAGAGCTTTGCCTTCTGGCTCAGCTCCCTTTTCGTCACAACGGTGCGGTAAAGCGACTGCAGTACCGCTCCCGCTGCTCCGATTCTCCAGCCCATCTCACGCTCCATTGTTCCCTCACTCGAGAACAAGACCCTGAGATACTTGAACTCCTTCACTTGGGGTAAGGACTCATTCCCTACTTGGAGTGGACAGTCCATCGGTTTCCTGCTGAGAACCATGGCCTCAGATTTGGAGGTGCTGATCCTCATCCCAGCCGCTTCACACTCGGTTGCGAACCGATCCAGTGAGTGCTGAAGGTCGCAGACCGATGAAGCCATTAGAACCACATCATCTGCAAAAAGCAGTGGTGCAATCCTTAGTCCACCGAACTGCAGACCCCCTCCCCCATGACTACGCCTCGAAATCCGATCCATGTATATTACAAACAGGATTGGTGACAAAGCGCAGCCCTGGCGGAGGCCAACCCTCACCGGAAATGGGTCCGACTTACTGCCGAGGACCCGGACACAGCTCTCGCTTTGGGAGTACAGAGATTGGATGGCCCCGAGTAGAGACCCCCTCACCCCATACTCCCACAGCACCTCCCACAGTAACTCCCTGGGAACTCGGTCATACGCCTTCTCCAAGTCTACAAAACACATGTAGACCGGATAAGCGTACTCCCAGGCCCCCTCCAAGATCCTTGCGAGAGTAAAAAGCTGATCCGTTGTTCTACGACCAGGACGGAATCCGCATTGTTCCTCCTCAATCTGAGGTTCGACAATCGGCCTGACCCTCCTTTCGAGTACCTTAGAGTAAACTTTCCCGGGGAGGCTGAGTAGTGTGATGCCTCTGTAATTGGCACACACCCTCTGATCCCCCTTTTTAAAAAGGGGAACCACCACCCCGGTCTGCCACTCCTTCGGTACTGTTTCCGACTTCCACGCAACGTTGATGAGACGTGTC